AGCTGCCATCATGTTTATATCAAGAACACTTCAACCATTCGAACAGAGGTACACTACGACTGAAAAGGAACTCCTTGCCATAATTTATTGTCTACAGAAGTCTCGATATATCATCCTTGGAACAAAATTAACTATTATCACAGACAACCACGCACTTACTTTCTTAAAATCTTGCCGCCTATTAAATAACCGATTAGCCAGATTGATACTCACTATACAAGAATATAACTTTGAAATTGTTCATTGTAAATATATAGATAACATTACTGCTGACACACTAAGTCGCCTTTCAATCGACCAATCCACTATCTCATATAACAATCCAAAGGAATTAACAATTCACTATATTGAAAACATCCCCGATCAACAACTGAAGAGTGCATTACGAAATCTACCACAACTGCAGAGAGAAGATATTAAACTACAACCTATAATTGAAATACTTGAAGAACAACCAAATTCAGATTTTGCACAGAAACTATCCAATAATTTCCGCATCTATAAAAATACTCTTTATCAAAAGTTAAGAGACAAATGGTTGATTGTTGTTCCTAATTGCATGATTAAAGATCTCATATGGGAATGTCATCTGTTTTACCTACACTGCGGAGCCAAAAAATGCTTTCAGTTATTACAAGAAACTTTCATATTTCGTAACATGAATCGAACTATAAGGAAATACCTATCTACATGCGATACTTGTCAGAAATGTAAGATCAGTAACCAACCATTGATGGCTACAGTGAAAGGAGTGCTATGTACAGGAAAGAATAAACAACAACTTGCCGTTGATATCATCGGACCTCTTCCTACCAGTGTGTCAAACGTTAAATATATTCTTATAGTCATCAATATATTCACAAAATTTGTAAAATTATATCCCATGCAAAAAGCTAGTACTAAGACAATATTAAACAAGTTATTTACATTGCACTTCCCAAATTATGGATATCCAAAAAGAATCCAGTCAGATAATGGAACCCAATTTAAGAGCGGAGAATATATTCATAAGATGGAACAAAATAATATTGAATTAATCTTTAATCCCGTGTACCATCCATGCTATAATCTTGCCGAAAGACCGATTCGAGAAATAAAGCGATGTTTGCGCACATATTGCTCCAATCAACACAAGAAGTGGGCAAAATATATCCCTGACATTAATGCAGGTCTCAATGAGCTTTACCATGAATCAACCGGATTCACACCCAATGAATTACAATTTGGTGTTAGAGATCGCCGATTTTGGGAGAAATATTTATCTGAAAATCCATTCAACACCGAAACCCCTATAGAACAAAATCTTCTGATTGCTAAGCGTAGGTTGGATACCAAAAGACTCAAGAGATCAGCAAAATTAAATCAAAATCGAAAACCTCAAACATTTGACAAAGTATTAATAAAAACACATCCCCTCTCCAGAGCCATCTATGGAGAAACAGCAAAACTTTTCGAAGTTTATGAAGGACCGTTCTTTATCAAGCAAATATTAGGAAAATCCATGTATCATGTAACAAGAGAGAATGAAGATATTTTACTCGGACCATATCACATATCTGCTTTAAAACGATACATAGAACCAATTATAGAAGAGGAGATGGCAAATGGTGAAGAAGATCTCAGCGACATAAACTCTCAAAATATTGTGTAAATAAAATCCTCTATTCAATCCATGATCATCGAGTGTCACAAATTATATTAGAGGAGATCGTCATGAACCTTAATTGTGAGTGCGTGTACCCTTTCCCCATTTCCCAAGTGAAAATTGTGAGAACATATCCTTAACATTGCTTCTATTGCTATTCCCCTTGTGTCAGGTCATGAACTATCTTAACCCTCACTAATTTCCCCATTTATGTTTTGTTCCTGTGTTTATGTAAATTTAGATTAAGAAGTTTCTAATCATCCAATAATATCAATCATTTAATGTGACCCATAACTAGCTTTAAATATGATTCATACTAAATGATTCATGAATTCCATTTCATATTCGTTCGAAATTTGTCTTTCATTCCATATCATACAAATTTCTGAGGAGATAAATTGTAATATTTCATGTCATTTCATTCATTATTTAGTATTAAGTTTCTTAAAATGTTAACTTTTATTCCTACACCTTTGTTAATAATCACTCCTCAGAAAAGCTGGCCTAATATTCATTTTCCTAATTTATATAATTTCATTAATATGTTCAATTAATCATTAATAATATTCATTCAATAGCCTATGGGCTATATATTTTTTTTACAAAGCCCACAACTTAATTATTTATTAAATATGTAAGAGAATTGCAATACATCAAAATTTCTTATAACATCATTTCAAAATTAGTCCTTAAGGAATCAAAATTTAAGAAGCAGTGAAAGTGATCTCATGTGTTCAACAATGAATGATGTGAACATTGAAATTGAAAGAAAAGGAAGCCATTGGAGAAGTTGAAACTGTTAGTTAGAAGGAGTCCAAATTTTATCTAAATCAAATTCATTCATCAAGAAGACCAGTTTATATCAAGTTATATCACAGTAGCCTAAACCTCAAGAGGACTCAACTCCATCATTGTTATCTTCAAAATTAAGTATAAACTTTCCTTTAAACTCTTTTAATTCAGTGCTAATTGGACTTACCTTTTGGACAACATCAAAATTAGATTTTTCATTGTTGGGATTTGTAAGTTTAACACCTTAATTAGGCCTATTTGGACACTATTAAATTGATTAATTATTAGCATTCAAGCCAGCACGACACCCTACCCTGAGATATATCACATCTAAATTATTTGACCCTTTATTATTCAAACTTATATTTTATTGCATTTTAATTTCAACCCCACACACCATTATCAATCCTTTCATTGTAACGTCCCTTTCCATTGTAAGCCTTTTCTCATCGCATGTTGTTCATTTGTTTAAATAAAAGACCTTTTGTAATTCATATATCTTTGTCAACTTATTAACTTTAAACATTTGTAGAATAGGCCTAGCCTAAAATGAATATTGTATGGTGAGTTTACAATCTGTTCTCACAATCACCGGAAGTGTCCGCAAAGATTGCGCGATCGAAAATCACGACTCCAAGCGATCGCGGGTGACGATCATAAGGTCTTGCAACCGCAAAATATGTTCCATGTTCACGATTTCGCCGCTATTGCGGGGGACGATAATGTTGTCCACGCGTTCGCCGGAGATGTTAACGATTTCGGCATGTAGAATATATCCCTGCGTCCGCGAAAGATGTTCACTATTCCACCGTAAACATAGAACATGTTTACGATTGCTCCGCGGTCTCGGAGATAACCCGCGCAACCGCGGGAGACAGAGATTACGAACCCACAAACAAGGACGCTCACGATTTCGTCTTCGCCGAGGACAATATCGTTCTTTTTTGCCCCGATCACAGAAGTCGTTTGGACCAATTATAGTAAAATATAATGTATGATATAAAGATAGGCTAATATAATTATATAATGTATTTTATACAAAAATAGTAGGCCTATCTCCTAAATAAAAAAAATTGAAATAAATGTCAGAAAAAAAACCTGATTTGTGTTACTTCTTGGAGTGCTCGTGCTTATTTTGAATCTCCAACTCATAAAAACTTAAAATGTTAAAAACTTAAAGGAAAATTTAATTTAGCATCATTCAATTTTTCTCAAATACAATAATAGATTACAATTAAAATAGTTGAAGTAAGCTAATTTAATCAGTGATACAAAATACATTAAAAGCGTGTATTTTCTTTTTAGTTCTAATCACTGTTTAGGGTTACTATTTTAATAAACACCATGGTACCCTGTTTAAAATAATATTAAACATAAAATGATTTTAAACAGGGTAGGTCTACTGTGGTATTTATTATTTCACTTGTATATATATGTATGTAAAAAAGGCCCTCTCATCTAAGCCGCCCCAGGCCCCCAACTATGACAATACGCCACTGGTCTTGATTATTAAAATCATTAACCCTTCCTATTATCCACCTAGTTCGGGGAATAACATCACTACCACTCTTCATCACTATCACTTTCAAAAGCTAATTCCTATTGTATGCTCTTCTAGAATTTAGCCTTTCTATATAAACTTAAAACTTAAGGCCAGATGATATTTACTTAACGAAGGATTAAAGAAGTTAACTGGTCAAAATTGGGCAGTTAATTATCTAATGACGAGTTAGTCTAAACTAGCTCTAACGGTGAGTGGTGAAATACCATTTCGTCAGTTAAGAGTTAACTGCAGTTAGAACATGGTTTAACGGCGGTTTATGTGTTTGGTGAAATCGGGCCTAAGTCAGTAAAAAAAAACCCTAATGTAGAGAAAACAACATTAGACTTTTAATTCAATAGAGCTACTTAATCATACGTGAAGAAGCTATTGCCACATACACTTTCCTCTAAGAACAAATGTTGTTTAATTTTTTCTTAATTCAATTTGAAGAATCCTTTGGTTGTAGGAACTAAAAAGACCCAGTTTATTGTATCCAATCTTCAACCAACATCGACCATGTACTAGTGTTGGACACTACCCACCTGGCTGTGAAAACACACAGTTCCTTTGATAGATGTATTTCTTCTTGGCTACGCTTCTGCTCCACCCTTGCTGAACAATCCATTGTTTTTAACTTTTTGCAAGTCTGGCCACATTTGAAGTAGGAACAGTGTTCCTCATCTTCCCACCGAAAGCAACCTGGACTATAACTGCAGCATAGGGGAGTGGAGCTATACGCTAATAAGGCCAAATCAAATCTTGATTTTTTTCAGAATGTTTTTCAATCTCAACTGTTGGTTTGTATCCTACCACTTCCACTATGTAGGGGTGTCAACTAATTACCACACCATTAAAATATTTTTTAAGCGAGTCAAAACCTAATGTATCAAAACAAGAACCCAAAACAACATTGTGCTATTAAATAATTTGAAATATCAGCCGTCACCCTCTCAGCACAGTAACTGTAAGGTGAGTGAGGAGAATGATCGTGGTATAACTGCTATAGTCTGTGTATAACAGGTCGACCTGGAGCTGAACTTAGGCTCACTCACTGTGTTCCTGTCTCCTAGGCAGCTCCACCTCTTGTTAGAACTGGTCCACGGACTGGCAGCCCCCGATACGCAAGATGACAGGTATGCTTATGCTCAGAAGCTTGTACCATTGTTTTTACTTGTTATAACTGATTTTAGTAATTAAATAATAAATGTTGCCAATCATTTGAGAAATTATTTAACATACCTAATGAAAAGCTTAGGTTTGTACCTTATGTATGTTAATGCTTGAGTGTCTTCTTAGCCCAGTAATAAGACTTTGTTGCAGGACTTAAGTTTTAGAACACCTCTTTAGGAAAGGGAATGACCAGAGAAGGGTATTTTGATTGTCTCCCATAAAAAGTTTATATCTAGCCTCAACCAAATATTAAACATGCAAAATAGCAAATATAATATTTATTTAAATTTTCATTACAGAATGAAAACTATGTTAAATAAACAGGCCACAAGATTATAAAAAGTAAAACCAGTTTACTATAGACTTAATATTACCTTTTATTGATCTCTTCAGTCTATGGGGGCAAAACAAAACTTTAAAACAAATTAGCCACTACTGTATACCTGTGCTTTGCAACAGAGTTGTAACGTGACTACCCCACATAACAAGTAAAAAAGCTAAAAGCAATATTGACTATTAAGCTAAATACCCCCGCTGCAGCAAACCTACCGGCTAAGTGAATTTCCATTTGCCTAGATTGATTTTCAATCTTATATATTAAATACCCCCGCCGCAGCAAACCTGCAGACTAAGCGAATTTACATTTGACTGATTGGATTTACACTGAAATGTCTACTTAAAAATATAACATTTATTCCCGATTTAAATAGAATTAGTTTAAAAAGTACTTAGGTTTGCTACATCAGGGAGGGTAAAACTGTTTATTTTTGTAAAATGTTAATAGTTAGTAAGAAATAAAAACATTTTCCAAATTTGATCAAAATATGTTCATAAACAAGCAAACTACAACAGTTTACTTATTCTCCATAAGAATAACATGGGAATTTTAAATTTACAATTTTTAGGAATTTTCTCCGTAACCATCTTCAATATACTAATTTATTTGTTTTTTTAAGCTGGTTCAGAAAGAAATTGCAAAATTTTATGTTTTTTGAGTCAAAAATGGGAAAAACCTATTTTTACCCCATAAAACCCCCCATAAACCCCCGTTCCCATTATCCGATCATGCTGGATCGGGAACGCGTTCGAATAAACTTAGGTTTACACGTTTGTACCAAATTTCATCAAAATCGGATCATTTTTGCTCGAGTTATCGTGCTAACGGACACACACACACACACACACATATATATATAAATATGAAAAATAGGGCTACTATATATAAATAAAGATTAAACATTAATAAACTTAGTACCCAAGTAAAATTATTTATTAAAATATTTACTGACTATAGTTTCGGCTCTAAGGCCATTTTCAAAGTAAACAAAAATCAAAATAAGATATGTAAATAAATAAATAACATATGATATTATAAAAATTTTCTAACTTGTAACATAATTTTGTCTTCATTGATTAATTTATATACTATATGATGTGTTGTACTTATTTTCATTAATATTTTCTCAATTTTGCAATTGTTTCATATATTGGATTATTCAATTTTGGAATCATTGTATTTAAAATATTTGATTTGTTATTTTCGTAGTTCATATAAATATTAATTTCTTCTTTTACATTCAATTTTTCGGTTTGGATTTTAGTAAATGATCTGCAAAATTTTATTTCATTGATGTTTTGTTCTTCGATTTATATGCCTGTATATGTTCGTTGAATCTAACTTTAAAATTTCGATAGGTTTGACCAATGTAGTAGTTGTCACAGTCAGAACATTTAATTTTGTAGATACCAAATGCATTGTATATGTTTGCTGTATTGTTTGTTATAGGATTGTTGGTTTTATTGTGTATGATTTTAAAAATGTTATTTTTTGTTCTGTAGCTTAATTTTACCGGGGTATGTTTGAATGTTTTCCTGATTGCTTTGTTAAAATTGTTGTTGTATGGGACGCACATGAATTTCTTTTCTTCTTTGTGTTTCGAATTGTTTTCTAAGTTTGATTTTAATTAATTTCTTTTCTTAATTTTCTTCTTGATCATATTATCAATCATTTTGCTTCTATATCCATTTTTTTCAGCTAGATATTTTATAGTGTCGACTTCTTTCTTGTAATTTTCTTTATTTAAAGGAACGTTGACTAATCTGTGTATTAATGAATGAAAAGTTGCAATTTTGTGTGTCCATGGATGATTTGAATTTTTTTTGCATTATTATGTCTGTAGTTGTGGGTTTTCTGAATATGTTAAAAGAATGTTTGTTGTTTTGGATGGAAATTGTTATATCTAGGAAATTGATTTCTTTTTGTTGGGTTTCTTTGGTGAATTTAATTTTCTTATTAATATTGTTGAGATACGTTAATAATTGTTCAGATTCATTGTCATTTCCTTTAAATAAGCATAAAATGTTGTCTACATATCTGTACCAATAAACAATGTTGTTTATGAATGGATTTGTTTCATTAATAATTTTGGATTTTTCCATTTCCGTCATAAAGATTTCTGATAACAGTCCTGAAAGGGGAGATCCCATTGGTAGACCATCGAAAGACGAATCATAACTAAAGTAATTTTGCTTAACAGTTACCTCTGTAAGTTTGATAATATCATTTATTTCATTTATTTTCAATTTGTTGTGGTTTATTAGGTTTCTTTTCAATATAGATAATGTTTCTTTGGTTGGAATATTCGTATACATATTGTTTACATCGAAAGATAAGAGTAAAACATCGCTAGGAATATCTATATCTTTAATTTTGTTGATAAGATCTTGGGTGTTTTTCAAAGAAGAATCAGATTCTAAATTTACATTATTTTTGATTTTGTTGTTTAAGTATTTTGATAGTTTGTATGAAGGTGAATTTATGAAGTTTACTACAGGTCGAATTGGTATGTATTTTTTGTGGGTTTTTGGCTGTCCTCTTAAATTTGGTGCTTTTGAATTTGTTGCTTTTAATAGGATTTTATCTTTCTTATTGATACTTTTGCATTTCGTTATAGTATCATTTATTGCTTTTGAAAATCCATCCGTTGGGTCTTTCGTAAAAATTTTATATTCATTGTTTTCAAAGAAAGTTTTAACTTTGTTGTTGTATTCATTTTTAGATATGATAACAACTGAATTGCTTTTATCAGCTTTAGTTATGATTGAATTATTTTCTTTCAATTTGTCTGTTATGGATTCAATTAGTGTTATGTTTTCTCTTGTTTCTGATTTTGTTGTTTTGTTAATAGTGTTGTTACCTAATTTATCAAATTCGTGAATGAAATTAAATCTCATTGGATCTTGAACATCATCGTTTTGTTTTTTAATTGCTATTTCCATATCTATTAGATCTCTTTCAATTGTTTTAATTTTGTAATCTAAATTTAGATTTGTTTTTAAAGACTTACCTAACAGTTCATTTTCTTCATTGGTAAATTCAATGTTTGTTAAATTTTGTACTGGTTGACTGAATTGTTTCTCTATGCCATTGTTCTTTAAAATTTTATGTTTTTGTGTTTCAATTAGAATATAATTTTGAATATATTTTATTTTATTTGAAAATAATGATTTTCGGGACGGGACGGGACGGGATTTTTCATGTGCATGAAAAGAAAGTATTGAGTATTTCAGTTACCAAAAAAGGCAAAAGAAATCAATTTCAATGATTTTTGCAGATCATTTACTAAAATCCAAACATAAGTTTACTAAGATCGAAGAAAACTTAAAAATATTAGAAATTGAAAAAGACAGAGAAAAATTGAATGTAAAAGAAGAAATTAATACTTATATGAACTACAAAAATAACAAATCAAATATTTTAAATACAATGATTCCAAAATTGAATAATCCAATATATGAAACAATTGCAAAATTGAGAAAATATTAATGAAAATAAGTACAACACATCATATAGTATATAAATTAATCAATGAAGACAAAATTATGTTACAAGTTAGAACATTTTTATAATATCATATGTTATTTATTTATTTACATATCTTATTTTGATTTTTGTTTACTTTGAAAATGGCCTTAGAGCCGAAACTATAGTCAGTAAATATTTTAATAAATAATTTTACTTGGGTACTAAGTTTATTAATGTTTAATCTTTATTTATATATATATATAAATATATAAATATATATACTATATGAATTTGAACGAATGGTGTTTTTGGCCTCTAGGGACCTCAAAACGAAAAAAAAAATTACCATGAGTACTACGGTAATAGCTTATTCCCTATATGGGAAATTCGCTAAAAAATTTGGTTTTTCTTTTCCTAGTTCGTTTGGCTCTTCTACCCGACCGATTTTCATGTTTGAGGTCTCAAATTGAAGGTATGCACGCACAGATTTGCCATCAAGCATCGACATATATTTCTCTATAATCCCACTCGGCTTATAAGTAAACAAAATTTGCTCTCCATGTATTTATTATGGAATTTAAATTTGGTTTTTCTTTGCCGAGTTCGTTTGGCTCTTCTACCCTACCGATTTTTATGATTGAGGTCTCAAATTTAAGGTATGCACACACAGATTTGCCACCAAGCATCGGCATATATTTATCTATAATCACACTCGGCTTATACGTAAACAAAATTTGCTCCCCATGTATTTCTTACGGTAGTTAAATTTGGTTTTCCTTTTCCGAGTTCGTTTGGCTCTTCTACCCGACCGATTTTCATGATTGAGGTCTCAAATTGAAGGTATGCAGGCACAGATTTTCCATCAAGCATCGGCATATATTTATCCATAATCCCACTCGGCTTGTACGTAAACGAAATTAGCTCCCCATGTATTTCTTATGGGAGTTACATTTGGTTTTCCTTTTCCGAGTTCGTTTGGCTCTTCTACCTGACCGATTTTCATAATTGATGTCTCAAATTGAAGGTATGCACGCACAGATTTGCTATCAATTATCGGCATATATTTTATCTATAATCCCACTCGGCTTATAAGTAAACAAATTTTTCTCCGCATTTTTTTTTTGTGGGAGTTAAATTTGGTTTTTCAAGGATTTCACATCAAGCTTCGGCATATATTTACCTACTGTATTACTCGACCAAAAAACATAATTTGATTCATTTTTGAATTCTTGCTTCAATTCAAGATGTATTTCACCAGTTATAATTTTATAATCCTATATATTTTGGTCTAAGAACCTTCAGTGAAATAGCGGCTTTCATTTAAGCTATTCGTTATTCAAATCAGACGAGTTTCAAGCAAACACAAGGTGAATATCCAACATAAAAACTATTTTTCATAAGGTTTTTCTATGATTAAAAATCAATCTCTCCAGTATTAATTATGTTTTTTATATGTTTTAGACTCCAAATAATCAGTAAATTATAGGCTTTAATTTGAGCTATTGATCGTTTGAATCAGTTAAGCTCAAGATACTGGATTACTCAATAAAAAATCATAAATTTGATTTTTTCGTATATAATATTTATTTTAACGCTGCGGAGCAGCATGGGTCCTCTAGTTAATATATTAAATTAACAGTTATGTATCGAGTACCTAGGTTAGCTGCTACAGGGAAACTAATAAAGTGTGTTTTTTATTAAAATATCAATAGCTTAGTATGAAATAAATAAATCCGCCAAGTTCAATCAAAATATATCCATAAACAAGCCAACTACAACATATTATAATATTCTCCATAAGAATAACATGGGAATTTTAAATTAACATTTTTTTAAATTTTCTCCGTAACCAATCACCGTACAAAAACACTTTCATATACTAAATTATTTGTTTTTTTAAGCTCTTTAAAAAGGTCTGGAGAAAAATTGATTAATTATGTGTTTTAAAACCCCCTGTTAAACCCCGTTCCCATGGTCCGATCATGCTGGTTCGCGAACTCATTCAAGTTTATCCCGCCTTACACCTTCAAACCAAATTTTATCAAAATCGGACAAAAATTACTCAAGTTATCGTGCGGATGGACACATATATATATATAGATATATATATATACATATATAAAAATTTGAAGGGATGGTGTTTTTGGCCTCTGGGGACATCAAAATGAAAAAGTAAATCAGTCCCGGGCCTAGGTCTTACCATGAGACCTATGGTAATAGCTACTTCCCTATAGGGAAATTCGCTAAAACACAACATAACACAACTAAACACCTCATAACTAAAACAGTATTAAGTAGTATTAAGCTAAAAACTCTACTTTTTGGTAAAACTCCTTTTACCTAAATACCCCAATTTCATCCCTAAACGACATGGAGGTCTGGTATGGAGGCATAACCATATATGCTAGTAACTAGTGAATGTAGAGGCTGTAAAGTTGTTTTAAACACCTTTATTTTGAACTTTATATTTGTGTTGCAGCAATGTGGCCAGGTGTTCACAGAAACCTATGGAGTCAGGCGACTTTGACAAAGTAGAACAACAGCTCATGAGTCAGCTTCAGTCTGTCACCACCAGAGGTCTCCACACTCTGCAAGGCTGGTCCTCGGCACCTCTAGGTCAGAGAAATTCAATTACAATTATCTGACTTTGCCCGTTAACGATAAAAAACTGTGAGATTTTGTACAATTTCCTTGAGTCAAAGCTCAAGGAGATTGTACAAAATCTCAGTTTTTGATAGTCAGATATACATTTTGTGTCTGGACAACCTCTTTTGTCACAATGTACTCAAAAGATGGGCATCAAGATTCAGGCACCAGGACTTGAAAGAGAAAGTACATTTTTGTATTTGCACACCCGGCATACCACACAAGTTTTCAACTCCTACAATTACCTACATACGTCCCTACTACGTCTCATGTGTAATTGCAAACCGAGATCTGTGGCAGAATGGATGTGGATGTGGATTGCTTTAAGTTATATTTTTCTCTTTTAGAAGGTTAGTTTTTATTTAATTAGTGATGATGGTTTTAAAACAAAAATAAGTTAGTTTTCAAAAACATTACCATCCTTGTTATCATAAAACTGAATCTGAATTATTCACCATAAACCAGCCGTGACAAGGTTGGATAATTAAGTGTATTTATTTATTGTACCATCATTGATGGTTAGCTTCTTAAAGCTTCTAATTTAACCTCTTCTTACTCAACATTCTTTAAAATTAATAATTTCTTTCTTGGTTGTTCATTTAGTATGGTGGTTTTCACAAACTATTTAATTAATTCTATTCACAAATTGAAAAACCGGTATCAGCAATCTGACACACACTTTCTCCCGTTATCTTTTCAACAACCCTTATGGCACATGTGGCAAAAGCTGCAATAACTTTTAAACAGTATTTTTTTACAGAAATAGGGGTTGTACCATTTTGTTTAGGGTTAAAAGGAAAGGACTATAAGCATAGGCTACACACAATTTGAATCAAAATTGGTCAAGTCTTTTTCTATCCAATCTTCCCTTGAATTAATAGGTTTTTATGGGGAAAATCACTAAAGTTGCACTTAGCGTACTTTTGAACCATAGTTTAACAGCAATGGGGGTCTATTTTGTTAAGAATTTTAAGAACCATAACCATAGATTAACCAACACAAGTAGACTTCTAATCCCATTGTAAATTTTGAAGCTTGTTTTCCGTGTCTAGTTAAAATGTACGTCTACACTGCTCGCTAGTGTAGACAAAATTTTGTTTATATTATTTTTGGGTAATTTTCATGATATGTACTTTACTGTTTGGTTATACAGGGTGATTGATATGAGTGTGCCATCTGTTTTATTTGAAAGTTATAACAGATATCACAAAATGTTATTCATTGTGACCCTTGGTTGGAATATATTATTGATAAAATAAAAGGATTACCTTATCCAACCACAGTTGCTGGTATGACAATAAAATTTTGTCATACCAGCAACTGTGGTTGGACAAGGTAATCCTTTTATTTTATAAAAAAATGTTTTATCAAAAGCCGTGATGCAACAGTGCAAAGGAAACAAAGTCAAAAGAAAGACTATTTATCCTGAGGTACTAGTTTAGTTATTTATTGTTTATTTCATACCTAATTAAAAATATATTTAATTATTTTACATAATAAATTATAAACAAAAGAAATATCTGATATAGTGTACAGATCTGTCTCTTGTTCTTTTATTTTCCTATTGTGCTTTTTGTCATTCAGTAACAACACTACTTCTGATCTTCTGGTTCGGCATCAGCAAGTAAGTCAACAAAGTGGTTAGGTCTAAATGTTTTATAATTTTAGTAAAGTTTTATAACAGTAAAATGACTTTTTCTTAAGTTAGATGGGGTTTCAAAAAACATATTTCTAAGATAAAATAAAATATTTACAAGACACAAACTACCATGAATAAATTTCTTTGAAAATAATCTGTAACAGTTTTATGTTTTTGAATAAATAAATATATCTTTTTGTTTCTACTTCCTCATTTCATTATACAATTTTGTCAGCAATTGGAGCAACCAGGTGGTATAAGAGGGGAGGGGGAGGGTCTATGACCTTGAGTGCAACCCGTGCCTGGCCGGTGAGAGTGATTTACGGTTTTTTGTTTACATCCTACTACCCTTCCTTCCGAGAGAAATATCGTGCAGTTTCAAAAACATTGACTTACAGATTAAAAACATTGACTTGTGTTGCTAATTAGGGCAGTAGTGGCTCTGCTTGTGTTGCAAAGTTGGCATTTAATTTTCTTTTCTCTTGATTTATTATAATCTATATTATCGTAATTAAGAGTTCCTTTTTGGGCACCTAATTAATTGTGATATTGTTTGACTTGAGTTTATAGATTTTTAATTCTTTTAATTCTATCAAAATCAGTTGTTTTCAGATTTTAATCTCTTGGATTAGGTCTATCTATACTACTGTATGACATGATATGCAATTTTTACAGTCCTTACTAATTAATTACCTATACCATAAGCGATGTGTGTGTTAATTACTGTTTTTGAGTTTTTATAGTAAATCAGTTTACACAACATCTTTTCTTCAATGAGTTCTCCACTTGTCATGTTGCTTAGCCTATTACTATTTTAAGCCCTATAAAAATAATTCTTATGTAAAGCTGTAGGCCTACTAATGCCAATAATAGATAAATTATGTATTTATTTATGATGATGTAACTAATAATGCTATTGCAAGTGTGAGTTTTTTATACTTAAGCCTGGTTTACACAGGTAGAGTTGTTGGTAGTGTAGAGTTTATAGTAGAGCTACTTTCTTGTCCACTCTACCGATTTTAAGCAAGCGACTGTTCACACATAGTAGAGTGTTGATGATAGTTTGTGAACTGTTTGTTCCACCTCCATTCCCAAAATGAGTGTTATAAACCAGTTACAAGACAGTGTCACTCTACCAGAAACTCTACTCTACTGCCGCGGATCACATTTACACAAGTATAGTGTGCAGGAGAGTGACAATTTTGCTAGTGGTGGGGGAAGTAGAGTAGAGCTACTATGCCACATGTTGCTAGTAACTCTACTCTACCACCTACTATCTACTATACTAGGTACTAGGCGCTAGTGGGTGTTTACACGGGTAGAGTTACTCTACTAGAAACTCTACTCTACCCACAACTCTACCCGTGTAAACCAGGCTTTAGGAAGTTAGGAAGCAGGAAATGAATGATATTGAATGATATAAATATTGCATAGTGGAAACATAGAATTTTTATTATCTTCTTGCTTGCAGTCTTGAAGCCAGCCAACAAGCCCTAAAATTGTGATATGTTAATTGATTTGTTTATGATCTTTTAGCAAATTTCCCTATAGGGGAGTAGCTATTACCGTACACACAGTATATTTTCAAAGACCTGGAGCCGGTACTGATAAACTTTTTCATTTTGATGTCCCTACAAGTCAAAAACACTATTCGTTCAATTTTTTGTTATATGTATATAATATATATATATATATACGTCCGTGAACGCGATAACTTAAGTAATTTTTGTCCGATTTTGATGAAATTTTGCTTGAAGGTGTAGGGCGGGATAAACTGAAGATGAGTTCCCGAACCAGCAAGATCGGACCATTGGAACAGGGTTTTATGGGGATAAATGGGGGTTTTCTCACTTTTAACCCCCAAAACATAAAATTTCCCAATATCTCTTTAAACCATTTTAAAGAGTTTAAAAACCAAATAATTGAGTACATTGAATTGTTTTTGAACGGTTATTGGTTAAAAAAAGAAAATTCAAAAAATTTTAAATTTATAATTGCCATGTTATTCCTTTGGAGAATAAGTAAACTGTTGTAGTTTGCTTGTTTATGGAAATATTTTGATTAAACTTGCAAATTTATTTATATTATACTTTGAAGCTATAAAATCGTTGATCTTTTATTAAAATCACTTTACCACCGGTATCCTCCCTGTAGCAGCAAACCTGTACTTGTTAAACCTAATGTTATTTAAATAGATTTAATTGAAAATCCAATCAGGCAAATGGAAATTCGCTTAGTCTACAGGTTTGCTGTGGCGGGGGTATTTATATTAAGATCCATCCAAAACTAGTTGTAATTTAGCTGTTTAGTTATTTCAACAGTTATAAAAATGGAAAAGAATGTCTTGATAAAAAAAAATATTTTCTTCTTTTTTGCAGTTGAGGCAATTTCCAACCTGTAAATAAGATGTGAAAATGAAATAATATACATAAATACAATCTTTTTTCATATTTTATTATCAAGTAATATTATAAACACAGATAGAAGTTAAAACAAAAAAATCCGGTAATTAATGATTTTTGGCCCGACCCAAACCAAAAAAGTCTGACCCACAGACCTCTACTGAATTTTCATCAAGATTGTTTTGGCCGTTTTTGAGAAAATTAGATTTTTTCTTTATTTTACAGGTGTTAATGGAAAAATCACAATTAAAAATAAAAATAAAAAAATAAACGCTTGGTGATACCAAATTTAATCAAAATTGGACCACAGGTGTGTCACACACACCTATTTTTTTATAATTATTTGTGAAGTTGTGTACTCTATAAATTGGCCAGTAAACAGGGGCCTGCAGGTCCAATTATATCTATTTAAAATCACTATGCTTGGTAAACTCGCTGATCAATCCAAGTTGTGTTTCAGACGATAGTGATGAAGAGTTCCTGCCGGTGAGAGGAGTCTCAAACAATCTCAGTGACTCTGTCTTTTCTGAGGCAAGAAGTCTCAATGCCTCATTTTCTTCATCATGCAGCTCATACAGGTAAAATTAAAAGCCAGTGAATGCAAATTTACCTAAGTTAAATTTATTTAAATTTAGTTTATTTTCCTTGAATTAAGTGATTTGATTTTGCTCTTTAAATACACAAAATATTAACATATAGATTCTCTTCAAGTACAACAAATAACTGTCACAGTACTGGTGCTTGTAAGTCGTTAGACTATTTAGTGTTAACAGCTTCCATTAGACATTGGTTTTTATTTTTTATTAGGGATATGAAACCTTCTAAACCAAGTCCACTCATGATCTTGTACCTAAGAAGGATGAGTTGGGTTTGAAAAATCCTATTTTAATCCCTGGCAATCCTGGATTAGGAATACACAGTTACAGGATTTAAATATTTTACAATTACAGGAAGGTATTTAACTTCAAGTAAATAAACTAGGATGACTTCAAAATTAAAAGAATGCTCAATAAACAATATTTCCCACATAATTTATGCTCGCTTTGAGCATCCAGCAAGTATCCTTAGAAATTCATTTAGTTTGATCCGTCACATCAAGGGCCAATATTATACATCACCTTGCTGGTTACAGGTTACTTAATATTCCTTTTTAGCTGCTTGAAAGTTCCATCGAAAACTCAAAATTTGCTTAAACTTCCTGAAACATCCTTATCTCCAGTTCAAGCAATCTCTGTGGCTTTGAAAACCCTTGAACTTATTAAGTAGTTTATAGGGAGGACCCACAAAGAAATTTGGGGTAATCTCATTGCTTCACCCCATATTATGACAAATGCACGTGTCCAAGTCATTTTACTAGAAACTAGAGCTTTGAATCAGTTAGTTTGAACAAGCAACAAATTTTTCCCAACTTAGTTTTGCCATAGCTATAACTAAAGTATCGTTATAAATAACGATACGTTAATGAAATAATACAGAAAAGTTTCAACATTACATAGATAGGTTGCTTAGGTCTAAACCCTAGGTGAACATCCTCATAAATAAATTCCTCATAAATTGGAAGTCTTGGAGATCATATTCATTTTTATTTGAGATGGGAACGGCACCTATGTGTGTATTTTGTCGTCGTCACTGTACGCGATTCACTTACTTGTGATATCACGGACGAAATGAAATTCAGGAATGACAAAATATAGGATTTAATTTTAACACCAAAATGAGCTTGTGTTCTTTACAAATCAAAACAACAAACTAAACATGTTTACATTATTCATAAAACAATTAAAACACATGGAAATAACTTATAAAAGCAAAACAGACTTTAAGCAATAAGTAAAACCAGTCTCTCAGCAAAAGTGCTTTTAGCGAATTTCCCTATAGGGAAGTAGCTATTACCGTAGGTCTCATGGTAAGACTTAGGCCCGGGACCGATTTACTTTTTCATTTTAATGTCCCCAGAGGCCAAAAACACCATTCGTTCAAATTTTTATATATGTATATATATATATATATATACATATATAAAAAGTGATTGATATATATATTTACATATATATATAGATATATATATAGATTTATATATATATATATGTGTCCGTGAACAGGATAACTTGAGTAATTTTTATCCGATTTTGATGAAATTTGGTTTGAAGGTGTAAGGCGGGATAAACTTGAATGAGTTCGCGATCCAGCATGATCGGACCATGGGAACAGGGTTTTATGGGGGGTTTTATGGGGTAAAAATTGGTTTTTCTCACTTTTTACCCTCAAAACACAAAATTTCCCAATTTTTCTCTAAACCTTCTTAAAGAGCTTAAAAAAACAAACAATTCAGTATATCAAAGTGTTTTTGTCCGGTTATTGGTTACGGAGAAAACTAAAAAAATGGTAAATTTAAAATTCCCATGTTATTCTTATGGAGAATATTGTAAAATGTTGTAGTTTGCTTGTTTATGGATATATTTTGATCAAACTTGGTAAATTTATTTATTTTATAGTAAGCTATCAATATTTAACTAAAAACACACTACTTTATTAGTTTCCTTGTAGCAGCAAACCTAGGTACTCGTTAAACCTAATGTTATTTAAATAGATCAATTGAAAATCAATTCGGCCAAATGGAAATTCGCTTAGACGGCAGGTTTGCTGCGGCGGGGGTATTATATATATATTGAAGTTTTAATCAATGACTTAAAATAGTCATATAACGACAATTTTAAACCCAATATGAGTGAAGGATGAATGTAGAATGGAGTTGATGTCTTGTGTAGCTTTGTTACTGCCTAAGACCAGCTTTTTCATTAATAATAACCACTGAGCTACTCAACTATATACAAGGTCTCAGTAAGTTAACCTTAAACTTATAAAAATGTATACCAGTATTGATATAATACTGGGTTACTAGGCCCCAGTAACCCAACGTGGTCAATATAAACATTTGATTGGTCTATGACAATGTGACTGAATAGGTTATTGACAGTTTTGGCTGGCGTACATACCTTGAAAAATCATATTAAACATATTTTTTTAAATTAAGTTTGAATAGGATAAATTAATAATTACGTAATGTTACTAACAAGTGGACGTCCGTTATGTCCTAGCTTTTATAGTATTTTCAGCGGTGCGGGGGGGGGGGGGGGCGCGAGCTAGGGGGCCCGTGAGCCTTGACCGGGATTTTCGGTAAATTTTACCGGCACACGGGCCCGCGATAGTGTGACAGGCTCAGCCACACGGGTCCCCTATCAAAACAATATTTATATGAGAATTAAAATATGTTTTTATGATGAAAATGTGTTCAATCCTATAGTTCAAGTATTTTACAACAGCTAAACTAACACTATTACTTTACCGATCTATATAAATTATCTACCAACCTAAGTAAAAGAATTGTCGTCGGTCATGCGGGTTGCATTAAATGTCCTCGTGGATTGTGTGAATGTGCAGTCAAAATTGGTTGCATAATAATAGGGCCGTATTTATAACCAATGTGGCCTCTGGCCTAGGAAGATAAAACATTAATGTTAATCCTCCTATCCCCCAGCGGGTGACACCATAGAGGATCCTCTATGATGATTCGACTAAATAAACTTGACAATTTTGTTACGACCAAATCGGCAAATTAACCTAGGGTGCTATAGGGCACTAGCTAATAAATAAGTCCATTCTTTCATTGATGCTAAAGAAGGATTTTCATTTCATTTCATGTCTTACTATTAGGAGGCTGCCCTTTAGATTTGTTGACTTCACACTTTAGATGTTTGGATGTGTTTACATCGAGTCAGGTAAAAAATGTTACTTACCTAAGGGCCTCAGGCCAAATTAGATCGGGTCAAAATCGGGTTGTTTTGGAAACGGTTAATTTTTATAATAGGCCTATTGATATGTTTTAACATTGTTTAATTGCAGCTGACTTTTAAGTTGTTATTATTATTGTTTTTGTTTTACTAATTTTGACTCATAAATAAGTTCAGTTCTATTTTATTAAACTAATTTACCTATCAATTTATGTATGTGCTTCAAACATAAAACAGGCGACGAGGATGATTTTATGGAAAACTTAAGAGTGCAAGATAGTTTATTCAATTCCACAGTCTAATCCTTATATATAATACAAGAAGGTGATTTCTACCAAACACTACTCCTCCGTTAATAATGGACGGATTTTTACAAACCACGTGTCAAAATAAAGTATTTATTGTGTAGACGCCCCCTTTCAACAATTCCTGTGATAAAAATCCTCGGGCTTTGTTTCACAGGCCATCAAAGTTGGAGTTTCTCCCATAAGGTTAACATGGGGGAATCTAAATATTTAACTGGAAACTTTGTCCCCACTAATTTGAGAGAACGGCTGGGTGTAGAAACTTGGTAGATGTGTCCAAAGAAAGGTCTTGGTCTGTAGATGAGTTATCAAAAGAAAAACTAAGCAAAATCCCTTAGGACTCTGCCCCAGAAGCCTTTAAAGATCCATCCACAGAGTTGTTTACATTTTGGCCATGTGAATAATACTTTTTAATGAAACAGCTGTTCATTTTTAAATTGTATTTCAAACAAGACACATTTATTGGAAGTTACTGAATTCTACCAAATAAGTATTTGCAGTGTTATTTTCTTATTTTAAAATAGATTTTCTTCTTTATCATGTCATGTTTTGCAATATAACGTTCCATTACGAAATCAGTGGAAAATCCTTTTATCACAGCAATTCTTAAATCATTTCTTATTGAACTATCTTTTATCTATTGTACGGGTTGGTGTCTGCCTCTTTCACCACTTTTGCCTACATTTTATCATATTATTGTACACATATCAAATATTTATGTAGAAATATCTGCTCTTATCGTGTCTAATAAAATCCAAACATAGAAACCTTGCCTAAAATGGTACCCATCTTGACAAATTATTTGCACCTGCCTATATTACGGACTTTGGCGGGTTTTTGGGGTCAGGTTGGTAACGTTATTAAAAATAACACAACATTTTGGCTGTAAAATATGATACAAAGAGAAAATACTATTTAAGCAGCTACTATCATGACAGAAAGGTCATATTCCTTTAAAACTAGATCACATAATCCTTTATAAGATACGGTGATTAACAATATGTAAACGTCAATATATATGTAACAGCCAATTTACAGTATTTTTGCTTTTTGGAAATGTCCCATTGCTATGTCATTTGCATTATTTGTTGCCAATGAAGCCGCCAAGACCATATGAACTAGGAGGCCCCTAACAGTTCAAGAATAAAAGCCAACTTCACTTCAAGTATTCCACTACACCTAACATTCCGTAGAGAGATTATATTGACAACTTTATGTCATTGATAAGGCTGAGACAACTAACTGACATCCCCCATGTCAAGGAATTCCACCTTCAACAGTAACCCCACAATCAATTTCTCAAAACTGTGCTAGAGGGTTCATTCATTGGCACAGAAGTACGATATGAACTGACGCGACGTGACGAAGGAAAAATCAAACTTACACTGTAATGGATATAACTCCCTTTGAAGTTAGAATATGTCTTCCCAAAAAATATTTTCTTTTAAAATTAAATCATATTACACTGATGAAATCACGGAA